TATAGATATAAAAAAATATAAAATTTGATTTTAGGAGAGGGAAAATATATATATATATATATATATATATATATATATATATATATATATATATATGTTTAAACAGAATTCATAGTGGCATTACAGCAGTTGTTTTTCCTCTATTTCTGACCAACGTTTTGCATTTTTCATCTAATATTTTTGACCATTTATCTTCAGTGATTATTTTTTTTATTCCCAGGCCTGTGAGGTTGAAAGACAGTGGCAGAGCTGGACTTTCATAAAAGTGGTGACCAGAGGGGGGGTGATTTAGGAATCCTTATACTAATGAAAGAAAATATTCAGTTTGAGTAACCTGCTACCTAAAGAACACACTTTCTTGATGACTTGCCCGGCGTCCGACCTTCTCTCAGTCCAAAACGACCAAGAAAACTATCCGTTTTGCTAATGATCAATTTCCTGATGAGCCCTCTCAAATAAGAGTTTCAGTTAAGAGTAGCGCTTGTTCACTTTTATTTTTAACGTAGCTTTGATTTTCCATCATTTTTCTTAATTTTTTTCCTACTTGCAGTTAGAGAATAACAAATGAACTGTAATTTGTGAAACGGTGAACGGAGCTGCAGATAAAATCTGTGTTAGCAGAAGAAGAGTGTAAAGAGGAAGTGTAAACATAAATTATTTCTGTCTTTGTTTCATATTGAATTGACATACCCGTTGTAGTGATCTGACAGTCATCACTGTTGACACCTGGGGTGTCCACTGCTGCCCCGGCCAACGCTTCTGTTGGAAAGCCCCTGGCCACCACCCTAATCTTTAATCAAACTCAAGTTGGGATTCCTGCTGGCACGACTTCCAGTCAAAAGAAGCATTTCAGTAAACCTAAATATTCCAGGTGTATGAACAATTTTGATCTGAACTCTATCTACATACTGGAAAACATAAAAGTTTTTTGCCGCTCATTTAGTGTCTCCATTTAGAAATATTTAAGGTATCGCCTTTTTACCTTCTTTCCTTTTAGAAAATTTAAAACGACTCATTTAAACTGATGCTCTATTGTCGGGTTTATCAAATTGCAGCTTTCAGCTAAAGATTTTCCAGTATGCCATTTAAAATCTTTTATGATGAGATGCTCCACATAATTCACACACTGCCTGTCAGCGGGCTGAACGATTAAAACACTTTTGTCTTTCTTACAAGAGAGTTTTGACCACCTAAATTTAACAGCTTTTCAATGTTTGCTCAATATATACTAATATAAACACAAGTTGTTTTTTTTTTTTGGCAGAAGTAAAAATAATGGCTTCTTTGCTCAAAATAGATTTTGTTAAAAATGTTTTGTTTTAAGTCTTTGTGTAAATACTGTGAAACTTTTTTACTCTGCCATGTCTGCAGTTTCACCAGCTTTCTTTATTCACCTTTTCTCCGACATGGTAAATGATTAAATCATCAAACTGAAGTGAGTTAAGTTTAATACGACCTGCATGATGTGTGACAAAGCAGTTCCCAAAGGTCACTTTAGACTTCATGGAGGGGAATCATTAAGAGCCCATCTGCGTATAAAACACATGATCATGGTGGTCTGCCCCAGCCATTATTCATCATAGACCACACACACACATACACACACACACACAAAAAAAAGGACACAGAAACATATCAATATACAGTCTGGCTTCCTGAATGAACTCTTAGAAGATGCCAGAATTAGGACCAGTACTGTAAACTTTCTCAGAGACAAATAAGCCAGTGTTCCCAAAGGAAGAGCGTCTCGCTGCCCCCTCTGTCCCCGCTCCCGCCCCATCGGTCAGTATGTCTAGCCTAATCAGACGCACAATAGCATCTCTGTGCAACACCTTCATGGGAATTAAGTGCCGAGGCTCCACAGGAGGTGAGTCAGATCCTCTCCTGGCTGAGTCACGACAGCTCCGTGTCCGGAGTCTCCCAGGAACAGAGCAGGCGAGGCAGCTGCAGGGAGGAAGGAAAAAGGACGGCAAAAAACAGACGAGCCCCTCACCCCCCCACTTTTTTTTTTTATTTTTTATTTTTATTTGGAAGTAAAACTAGTGCTAAAATCTGCCCCAATCACAGATGTGATCTGGACACAATTCCTCTTTAATTAAACAGCTTCCCATTATTTATTTAACCCACTTTCAAAAACTTTTGCACAGAGAAGTTTGACTTGTTTCAGGTTGTGAAATAAATCACAAAAGTAACTTCATAAGCCTCGTTTTGACTGACAAACATAAGTTACTAAACGTAATTTAGTCTGCTCTGGTAAAGTTGTTGACAGTCTTCTGCTAGCCACTGAATGGCGTTCGTTGTCCCTCTAGATGTGCTCAGACACGTAGACACACTCCTTGTGACATGAACTAAAAACAGCCAGATTCAGTAAGCGGATGTGTGGGTGTCTATTCCCACTTGTAAAATCTCAGAATTGTTCTGCTGGAAAGTGTTTCCATTGTTAAACAACGCCAGGCAATTTTTTCCACTTATGTCAACGCAAAAGCAACAAATTCTGAGGTCGATGAGGGTTGATCTCAGTACGGAAAGACTCTGGTGGGGAGATGGCATGATAAGGGGATGTCAACATGAAAAATGGTTTCGAATAGAAAACGTTACATACTTCAACATGTGATGTTCAGCCAAAAAAAAAAAAAAAAAGAGGCCTGATTAAGCTTTTTTTTCTAGGTTGAGTTTGTCTCAAATAATATGTATACAATCTGAAAAAGTGGTGCGATGTTAATTCTGTTGACACAATTTCTTACTTGGAGAATATGCATAAGCAAAGCACACAAATTAGATACAGGTCCAAATCAAATCCAGCTGGTCTGAGCTATTTCCATCCATTTTTGCACCAGGCTGCAACTTGCCGATTGTTTTTTCTTTTTTTTTTTTTTTTTAGAAGAAGAAAAGTTCACTGATAATTTTATGTTCCAACCATATGAATGTTGAGGGCAATGTGTGAGTTCATCAGGGCAAAATCCAGACCAGACTTCAATTTCTACATTAGTTGTGATTTAATTTTCTAACACCTTGTTCAGTCCCCACAAATACTAGAGCACATCTGAGCACTTACTCTTTCGTTTCTGAATGAATTCACTTCATCACACTAAGGCAGCAGCTAACTGCATTTTACAAGCATAAACACACAGTATAAGTTCATCATCATTGTTATAAAATATAAGTTAAAATTGAGCGTATGAGATAGAAATGGCACTTGCTGTGCTCATCTTTCTGATTGGCTGCCAGTCAAATCAGGTTCTTTGCTACTCAAGCTAACGTAACGAGTAAAATGGACGACTCTGCAAAAAACCTGAGCTGTGGAGATAAAATAAAATTTCATTTGATTAATTAAAGAGAATCTTATCAGGTGACATATTACGACATAAACATCAGATTAACAGTCATAACGTACTTCCTGATAAAATCTTTCCAACTTATTGGCAACTAAAATCAAAAGATGCAAGGCAGCATTTATGCTAAATGATATGAATTTTTTTATTTGTAAAAAAAAAAAAAAAAAGACTCCAGCTTTCGATTTTATTTTACTTCTGTCTGTCTGGTTGTTGACTGGCATGCAGGTTTCTCTGAAATGTTTCTTTTCCAGTCGGCATCAGAGCTGCACGATGTTGGGCTGTGGGTCATCCTGCAGTTTCAATGTGTGCAATGTTACAGTCACAAAAAGACTGCTTATGTGGTTGACACTTTTCTATTTTAGTTGCTATGGATCCAAACTTTGCTCACCAACAATACATGTTCCCAGTTTGGATGAACTTCATCGTCCTGTTCCTGAGCTGAGATGCTAACACTCAAAATAGTGCTAGCTCATGATAAAAAAGAGAGAATAATGTGTGTTGAAGATGTGGGTTAATAGTATAAAAGTATGTTTTACTAGTATTTTACACCCTAAACTGTTACCCCACCACGTTGTGTTTGTTTCACTGTCTGCTTTTCTGGTTTTTGTTTTTTTAGAAATTCAAAGTAAATCTACATGACTGGTATCAAATGAACCCCAATCAACTTTTCTATGTTATTTGTGGGACGTGTCTTAAACAAGTCGAACTAGATTTGATAATTATTTAAAGGTTATATGTATATGTCCTATAATGCATGGACTCGCTGTAGTCCAAAACATACTATCATGTATGACATATGTTCAAAGATTCAGAGGCTTGGTAATTTAATCTTACTGTTGTGATTTCTGCGTTTTATTTCAGAGGGTTAGATTTCTTAAGAGCCGCCGCCCTAAATGTTTACTTTATTGTGAAGCATTTTTTTTCCCCCCATAGCATTTTGTTTCTAAGCCTGTTTCTCTCTCTCTCTTTCTCTCTATTTACAGTAAATGATCTCATTCGTTTCACCGTGCACCGTAACAGCAAGAACTGGAAGGAGGACAATGAAACGAGGAACTGCTGACTTGCGTTTCCAGGTCTGTGTTACTGACTTCCCTCTGACACGCAGAGAACAGATGTGCAGCCATCCGTCATCGGCTGATATTCTCGGAGCCAGACGTTATCGCACAGGAATCGAGCGAGCCTTTAAAAGTCGCCTTTGCCTTTTGTTTGCGTGACTGGCGAGATGAAGGCTGGGATTAGGAGAGTAGGGGCAAAAGGTAAAGCGCATGACAGGTTTCTGGACCGGCGCCCGGCTTGAATACCGCTAGAAAGTTTAGGTTACCTTTTAACCATGACTAGAGTTCGGCAGAGGGACACTGTGAGCTCTGAGCACAGTCATCTCCATTGATGTTTGACTGACTGATGCAATCAAAACTGCACGTTATCGTTCATCAACACGTGCAGCTGCCGAATTACTAACCTCGCAACTGCTAAGTGTCAGAATCAAACTCCCCAAGACGTTGCGGCTGGTATATTTGAAATTTGTCCAGATTTGACCTTTAAGGCAAATGAAATGCTGAAACGCAAACTTATTATTTTTTTTGTTTTGTTTTGTTTTTTTGTTTGCTGCCAACGGCAACTTGAATTCGCTGCTTCAAAGAGTCTTCTTCACACGATAAAATCTGCAAAGCAGGCTCACTGAACCACTGCCAAAAGACAGATAAGAGGTCATCTGTCAGAAATATTAAAAACAATACTACAAGTAGTGATTATGCTGTCTGCCTGCTGATTGAAGCAGGTGATAGCCAGTTAGCTGGAAAAATAATTAGGCTTCTTCAAAGAATTGCTGTATCTTGATCTTTTGAAGAACCTGCCTCCTCTTTGTGTCACAGGATGCTCAAATCGATTACGCACAGCCGAGCTGGCCGATTGAAATGCCAAGCTTTTCTAATAATTTTAGAAAACCCCTCTAGGTCACCTAAAGTTCTCTCATCCATCTGTAATAAACCAAAGAATCTGGAAATGTTCAGTGTAACACAACCACTTGTACAACCTTCACATTGGATGCAATAATGTTTCCTTTTTTCACCCAAAGCTGAAAAACAAACGCATTGTGTCAGATGTTTTTCACGGTGCAGAGAGGTCTTCCTAGGCAACGGCCGATCAGATGTTGGTTCGATTCCCACACGAAACCTAAAGATAGACAGCTAGGCCATTCATACTGATATCGAGTATAATGGGTCTCCTTGACTCATCTGCAGACTCAATCTCCCACAATCCTCCCACAATGAGCGCTCTGCTGAGCCAGCATTCGTCAAAGTCTTACTTTCTGTTTGTGCACCGGTCGTGCGTGGCTCCATGTCAGAGAGATAAATGAGCTGTGATAAACTCAGATAGCTGTAGAGTTTTTTTTTTTTTTTTTTTTTTTTTATGAAGGAAATTCGCACCAGAGGTTCTGGTTGTTCTGACGGATCTGCGCTGTTTTGGAGAATGAATTTGCTCCTCGACTTCAGAGCACTGACGTTTATTGGAATGCTGCTACTAATAATTTTATTTAAATTTTAGTCTTTTTTTTTAGGTTCTTGTGACCTTTATTGAATAGTACAAAGCCAGGAATTAGCGAGGAGAGAAAACGGGGAGGCATGCAGCCTGAGATCGGGAACTGAACCCAGGACAGCCGTGAGCCTCTGCACATGTCGCAACTGAGCCAGCCAGAACCTCCATGTTAGGTTTTTAATCTAGATCTGCCTCGTCTTTGTTATATTTGTTATTGTTTATCTATGATGGTTTGTCAAACTTAGCATTCAAGGCTGTCTGCTCTTACTGATAAAAGCAGATAAGGTTTCAGTTTCAGTTCGATCCTGTTTTTTTTTTTTTTTTGCATATTTATGTGTGGGGATTGCAACTCTGTCATGTTTTTTTTTCCAGTTTTATTTTATTTACCATTATTGAGATTGAGATGTAACAATTGTTTGTCTCTGGAGAAAATGACAATCGGGTATCAGAAGTTAAAGGTTCACAAACACCTCAGTAAATCGTTGTAACAGTATTTAAGTTTTTTAAACACACACACCCACACACACACACACAGACCCTCCCCTCATTTCATTGGCTCACAGGAATCATGGAGGAGAATCATAACAATAAGCTGCTGCCTGAACTTCACTAAAATTACATGGACATGCAAAAAAAGAGAAGCATATTCATCGGCGTCATCTTGAGCTGACAAGACAAAAACAAAAGGCGTTCTGGAGATTTTTACATACGAGACTGATGTACTGTCCCAGTTCTGAGGTGTTTGGGTTTTGGGTTGAATCTCTCTGTGTGTATTTAGATCGTCTCTATGTTTTCCATGTTCCCTGTGTATGCTAGCAGCCGCTTCTCCCATTTCCTCAGTTCAGCTTCAGCTTCAGTTACTTGCCTCCTCTCATAGCTGCACCAAGTTTCTAATTCGCTTCCTGCTCCTTGTTCAGCAACGATCTCTGCTGCGTAAATATCTCTGTCAGAAAAGCTCTTGGTCAGATCCTCCTGTTGTGTATCCCTGTGTTTCCCTCCGGCTGCATGTTTTGGACTCACCTTTTGACTTTAGCTTTAGTGTTTTCTTATTTTTAAGTAAACAGTTGACTTTAATCCGCCTCCTTCCTGCCTCCTTCCTGTGTTTTGGATGCCACAGCAGAAGATACCGATAACCCCCAGATGCTAGCTATGCATCTTAATTACGGAAGCATCTTAATTACAAACACTCTGATGTCTGAAAGGACTTTAAAAACGTCAAACACATTCAGGACTTTGCAACGGCAAAGTTGTAAAGATGCCAGATGGCCACAGCTAATGGTATCTGTTTAAATATTAATGGACGAAACGCTGTAATGTTACGTGCATCACAGTGTTATGCAGGTTTATGTTCACCAGTCAATGTGTGTTTTTACACAAACTCTGCATGGCATTAATTTGAAATGGTAAAGCAGCAAAAATGACTGACATGCTTCACTTCATGACTCTGTTTCATAGTAAGGGAAACTAGTGATGCTGCACGGTGGCACAGTTGGTAGCACTGTTGCCTTGTAGCAAGAAGGACTTGGGTTCGATTCCCGGCCCGGGGTCTTTCTGCATGGAGTTTGTCTGTCTCTGTGTTGCCCTGCGACAGACTGGTGGCCTGTCCAGGGTGACCCCGCCTCTCGCCCGGAACGTCAGCTGGAGATAGACACCAGTACCCCTCTGGACCCCACTAGGGACAAACTGATTGGATGGATGGAAACTAGTGACCAATGTGGCGAATAATAAAAGGAAAATAGCCCAAACTAGTCAGGACCTGTGCTAACACACCTTGCTTCCTCATATTTATCATCAAATAAAATATGATGCAAAAGTCAAGAAAGACTGCAGCTATAAGCTCATCAATTACAATGTACAAATGAGTTTTATGTATGGATTTGGAGTAATACAGAACTAAATCTAAGGTACACACTTCCATAAAGTATATTAACACATCTAGTAAGTGTTGTAGTATTTGCTGTTTTGCTAAAAAGGAAAACAACACTCAAACTTTTTTCTTAGAAGGGGCTGAGTTACCCAGTAGTTAATGTTTTTGCCCTAAATAAGACTAAATTCTTTTTGAAGTTTTTACATTTTTTCTGCTTTTATTAAACAGAAGTGTGTCTTTGAAAAATGTGGCCACAGTATTGAAAATTATGTTGACATACAGTTTGATATTTCGTATCTTGTTCAGCTGTTCATCTTTATCTGTCGGACATATTATCTCATACTTAATTTACAAGATAACATAAACTTGCACACTTTATGTCGTCTTATAAAGTATGTGAGTGTGTTATGATCCTAAGAACATCCGGATGGTTCTTGACGAATCAGATTCAATCAGACGATGACGTTTTAACTTTGGGTCGAACTCGTTTGCTGGGAGTTCTCCTTACATCCACTTCAAAAAAGTTCATCTTTGATCAAAATACTTAATACTTGTCATGTTTGCATTCACTGTACTCCAAGGCTACAGTGATGTCTGCATCAGTGTCATTATTATTCATTAGCAGGAAGTAGACCATTCATATGTTGAGCAGCAGAATGAACCTCACGATCAGGATGTGCTCTCGATTTTACCCATCGTGGTTATGACTCCACATGGGCCCCGTCTGGCCTTGTGAGCAGCCATTTGTACCCGATCGTTCAAGTGTGCTGTGATAAGCGTGGGAACTGCAGAGGAAGCATTGCGTTTAATAAGTTCCCATCGTTTCCTCAGCTGGACGGAGTAGGAGTTCATCTCCCAGTTGCACGCCGATCACTTCTAGAATTGCAAACAGGAACCGATCGCATTGGAGGCCAAAGCTGCATGCTGCTGATGACGATCTTCTCATGATGAGGCAGTAATTTTGTTTTCGTTTTAACTAATGCTCTTGATGTGTCATTCTGCAGAACGGTGGGTTCACTGTGACGTGTTTCTGAATGTCAACGAAAGCGCTGGTCGAGCGCAGGCTGCAGATAGTTTCACGGGTTATGATTTACCCCTCAAAAGGAAGAAAAAAAAAAAACAACCAGAAATTATTTTAAGCGAAACTGTTTCTACTCATGACAAGTTATTTACGAGAAATCACAATGCCAGGTGTCAGATCCCCTGTCAGGTGCAGAGGGGTAAGTAGTAATGTCCTTCTGATTTAGTGCTTATGAGAAATAAAAATTGATGTTGTTCAAATCTACCATCTTATAAAAGCTGTTTTGATCTTAACCTGTGATCTTATTTTGACATTAGTTGTGCTTCTAGACATTTAGTGTTCAGGCCTCAGTGGGATTTGCGTTACTTTTTTGGCGTTAGGGCCCATGTAGACCCAAATATCAGCCGATTTGTCAGTTTATCGATTTGTTTAAAAAAGTATTTGCCTGGCAGAGATTCGTTGTTTTTTTTTTTTTTTTTTTTCTGTATGACTTAAACGTTTGAGATCATCAAAAAACAATAACACCAGACAAGGATAATCTGAATAAACACGAAAGGAGTTTACAAATCATGATTTCATGTAATTAAAGGAGCTTAAAGTATTCAACCACACTGGCCCTATTGTCTCACCCTTGGCAGGAATGGCAACGTGGAGGATTATCGTTTTTAAACTAATACAGATTAATTTTGTTGTTTTGAAGCCATTTGAAAGTGGGAGCCACTTAAGTACGTAAACTTTATTTCTGTAGCAACTTTTACACGTCAGAAACCACAAAGCACTTTACAAAACACATTTAGGATTGTGAAATGATTCCCAACATTCTCTTCCACTTTTAAGAGAGTTGACGTTTCCATCAATTGTGGCGACTTGTGTAGATCCTGACATGGTAAATCAACCCCAGACTGTCATGTTTTAATGTGTAAAGGACTCCCACCCTCCAAGTTCCACTCTAGTCTTGACAGTAATTGTTTATCCAAAGACTCGGAGATGATCAGGATTTTGGACAGATTCTGAAATTGTCCTTTATTTTCTTTTCGATAAATATTTTTGTTTTTTGTTTTTTTCAGAACAATCACCATTTTACCCCAGACTCTAATTTCTTGAATTATGAATCCTTGCGGTAACCAGGAGGCCTGTAGAGCTTTGTTATTTCGGATTGTTTGTGACCTCCTAGATGAGCAGTCGCTGTGCTCTTGAAGTAACGTTTCAAGACTCTTAGGAAGGCTCATTTTTGTTTCCAGTTCTTCTCCTCCTGTAGATAACGGCTCTCGCTGTGGTTCACTGGATTCTCAAAGCCGTAGAAACGGCTTTGTAACCCTTTGCGAAGTTGGCAGTGACTTTGTTTCTGATTTGTTCTCGAATTTCTTCTGATGTGTTGCTTTTCCCAAACTATTCTTTTTAAGTGATTGCTTTAGCCAGGAGTTCGTCCAGTAATGAGGCCCATGTGGGGGTCACGAAACTGAAACAATGTTGTGATTTAAAAAGGTTGCAGCTTGTTTCCAGGTTGTTTTGGATGCTTTTTTCCCTTGATAAAATTACCATTTTCATTTAGTAACTTTATTTGGTCAATTGTCTTTCTCTGATGGCAAATTTAGTTTGATTTCAAACATTTATGTGTCACAAGCCGAACTTTAAAATAATCTGTAATTTGTTTCTGACCTCACGGGCTTCATCGGTTCAGTGGGTACATGTTTGTTTGTGCGCAGAAGGAACAGTCCTGGGGTGTGATGCTGTCGTGTTTGGCTCATTAGGTTTGTTTCTGTTTCTGAGATGAGGGAGTTGATATTTCATATTGACACAAGAACTGTGTGTGTGTGTTTGTGTGTGTACCAGTGACACACTAATCTGAAAAACTGTATAAAATAACCCAAATACAAATAAAAAAATTATTCATCTCTACAAACATAGTTAAGTGTAACTTCTGACAAGAATAAATGAACTATAAATGAGTTATTGGGTATTAACACAACATTCTGAAAAACTGTAATCTTACTTTTTTTTTTTTTTGTCATGGTGCAGTTACTTTTTTTTCTCTCGGAGATCTAAAACAGAAATCGGGCCACTTGCCTCAGTGCTCAAAGCATAATCAGATCTTTTGTCAGGAAACATTGCATAATTCTCCTTCAACAAGACAATTTTTCATTTTTAAAGAAGTGCTTTTACTGCCGTTTTATTTCCCCAAACCCAGACAGTCAAGTCTGGCTGGCCTCTTTTGAGTCAAATCTTTCTCCACAACTATGCCAAAAATGCACTCGCTTGATTTCTGTTGTTTACATGAAGCTTGCTTTTTTATGATAAGCCTAAGCCTGTGTGGCTAAATGACATTTGAAAAGGTTAAATGTTGTCTGCATGGAGGAGATGTAAAGGTATTTTTTTATCTCAGCAATGTTAGGAATTTTTGTTTCCACAGCACTGTAACCAAAAATGACCTACGAGGAGCCACGGCGTCTTTTACCAATTTAAACTGGGCTGAAGCAGTAGTTGTCAGACTTTTTAAGTGTTTTTGCTTTTCCAATTGAATTTGGCTGCATTTTCAGTAATTTTGTAGCCCAAGATATGACACTTTTCAGAGGAATTTTCCTTTGTCTGTAAAGTTCTTTAACGATGTTTTCGAACATAATAAAAATACACGAACTACTGACGTAAAAGGAAACAGTAATGCCCGAACTACTGAGCACATTTGAATAAAAATCGCAGTGTCTAACTGAAAATAAAATAAAAAAGTACATGTTTAGGCCGCACTTGTATATGTCTGTGTTGTAACATGAGATATTTAAATAGAAATATTTTTTCCACTTTCAATGAAATGTGTATCAAATATGCTTTGTGGGATGAGTTCCTGTAACACAACTTAAAAAAGCAATACAGTAGTCTACGTGTAAAGTCAACATTTTGAGTCAGCAACGTGAAAGTGAAGCGGTTTTCACCTTTACACCAATAAAACATTCCTGCAGCCTGTTGTTGATCATGTCCATCCCTACAGTATGTCTATGTTCTTATGGCTTCCTAAAGCCGGATACTCCACTATGATCCAAAGCTCAAATTATCTCAAAAAATGGCTTCTTGAGTGAGTTAGCTACACTTACCTAGCCTCCATAGTCACCCGGTCTCAAGCCAACAGGGGGCATTTGGGTTGAGAACTGATGCTGTGAACAAATGTCAAAAGGAAACAAAATGTCTGAGGACCTTTTCTGGAATCTATGCCATGAAAATTAAGATTCCCCGTTTACATGGCTAAACCGTAGCATTTTTGTTGCAGTCCAGACACTCGTTTACGCGACACCAGAATGTCTCACAACGGCATTATCTGAAACCAGGTCTCCGAGTGAAACTTTTCCGTATCAACCCCGCGTGGATGTGTGAAAGTCTGTAGGGTTTGTTCTATGCTTGCATGGAAATAAAACAACAAAAACAAACGCGGCTAGAATTGTGCTACTTAACCTGTTCAGTTTGGCACCGTCTCTGATAAGGAACACATTACATATCCACTTTGTTCATGGCAGATGGAGATGAGTTACTGTTTACCATGAGGTGAAAGTTAGCGAGGTGGAAGCTAAGGATCAGTGACATTCTAAAATCACAGCACCATGTAGTGGCCTGGCATGGCGACTACAGCTGACTCGAGTCCAAAAATATTGTAAATCTCCAAGCAGCAGCCAAAGCCTAAAGTTCTGAAGATAAAAAGGGCTCCAGCCTGGTATTACATAGTGTACGTAATGAAGAAGCCATTGGCTGTATAGTCCAGTAGAAAAGGGCCATTTAGCTGCCGGGTAGATGGAATAATAAACACTTTTTAGAAAAGAAGTTACATTTCTTTCTTTTTCTGTTATTCCCCATCATCTAACAACATATCAAGCAAGCTTCTGAACAAGCCCAACTTAGAAACAATCCTTTAGGGGACTCTGGGAAAGGAAACGGTCTTGATTTGACTGGTTGGAGTGGGGTCAGCCCATGACTCGCTTTCCCAGGCTTTCACATAATCATCCCATAATCTCAAGGATGCAACAGACTTCTCGGTCCTGTGTGTACTGCAGTTATTTGAAGTGTCTTAACTCCTAAATATATAATTAAACGCAATCTTCAAGCAGTAACATTAAAACCTTGTACCTCCCGTTAGATTTGTGCCATTCTCATGCTCCCCGTGATGGTATATGTAGAAGTAGAGCCACATAGGAGATATTTTTTTTTTTTTAGAAAACAAATGATGTTGAGTGGTGTGAAGCTGAAAGCAGGAGATGATTAGTGTGTGTGTGTGCCTGTTTTAGAAGTTGGCCAGTCATCAGTAGAGCTCTAAGAGCAGTGAAGGAAGTGGTGGTTACAGATGACTCAGCCAAGCCATGCATTTCAGTTTTTCTTTCCCCACTCTCGCTCTTTTTCTCCTCCCCCTTTCATCATGCTCTCCTCTCTACATTCTATTCATTCCTCTTTTCTATTCTGGATCTACATTTTCTGTCTTACTGTCACTCTTTCACTCTGTAACCCCCCGACTATGTTTTTTTTCCCTATCTTGCTGTGATTCTTCTGGGTCTGTTGGAGGCATCTCTTAGTTTGTGCTTTGAGCTGTGCTGTGTGTCTGTGTGAGGTGAATACTCAGCAATGTGAGTGGGAAGGTGGCTGGCTTCCTTCAGAGTGATTAAAACATTCATTCTCTCTTCTTTTTCCCTTCTTTCTCCTCTCTTCTCAGTGTTCACTGGCGACTTTCTGATGAAGAGGAGGATGAAGGGAGACAAACTGGTAAGTGAAAGCAAGCTGAGCTTTACTTCAGCCATTACTGACGTTTTCTGTTTGAAAATCAGAGGAGGTGGGCAGACTCTAGGGAACCCCTCATATTTTAACTTTAATGACTGCTTTGCACTCTCAGCTGTGGCTCCAGTGTTTTGTTGCCGTTTTCCTACTTCAGGTGGTCAAATCAAAAAGGCTTCAAAGAAAGTTATAACCTGAGCGACAGCATAAGGCTTAAAGCAGGAAGAAATAAAGATCTGGACGGAAAATATAAAGCGTTTTCTCATCTTTGATGATTTTAACTCTCGCTACTAGAGACTTATTCTTTTCTCTTTAATCTTAAAGCACTCTTTAAATAGATCACCCTGATTGGTTTTCATTCAACAGATGTGGTGTAAAATAAAAAGCACAATTCAATGTATTGTAGCAAAGTACTGAAAATAGCACAAGTGAGGTAAAATTGGATAATCACAGCTGGGGACAGGAACCGTTTTTAGCGTGTTGGTGGCAGGGCTGGCTGTGGCGAACACTGGCTACTTTTCCCACTTGTCCTGTGACCGGCTGCTCTAAATTTAGTCGCTCAATCATATGGTGATGCTCTGTCCGCACCTCGAAGGGCTAAAGTGAAAGCGTATGTGTTAGATGTCTTGGTGATATTGCAGCAGCTGTCCTCACAATAAAAAGAACATGATCAAAGAAGTACAACTCGGGAGCGATTTATGTACAGAAATGAATCTTTTAGTGGTGTTGGTGAGAGTTTCACAGTCTGTATCTATGCGCATCTTATCCGCAAGCTGTACCGTAAAAATAAAGAAACACAAGCTCCAGGTTTAGAGGGTGAACTAGTTGCCTGGAGTTGACTTTAGATTCTTTACTCTCATGTAGTTTTGTGAGAATGTGTAAGGCACACAGTGATGGATCAATATGAAAATCATGGTCCATTAGCTCCTGGAAGTTACACCATCAAATTTGAATTTGCGTTAGCGATTCTGTCTGATGGGAAAAAAATGAATGCATGAACGTATGAAAATATGAACGTACGTCAAGGACAGTATGTCTTTGTTTTTTCAAAATCACCATATCTGACCAGACCCTCTCGCAGTCCTATTGGAGCTTATCTCGAGCGCCTATTAGCTTTACTGTATGTTTTATGTAATCATCAAAATCTCTTAACGAGCATAACTGACAAAACTAAAAATTGCTAAGACCTGTAAGGATTTCTACTACTTGGTGTTCTTTTTTATTTTATTCTTGGTAAGCTAAAGTACTATTGTGAAACTACATGCCTTCTTAAGCTTGGCACAATGCTGGTGTTAGCTACCTTAGTGCAGGCTGTACAGCACGTCTTGTTCCTGTTAGCTAGTTGAAGCAGTTAAAGGTAATGCTAATGCTATCTCAAATGTTCCCTCCAACATTTGACTCTGGTATACAATTTAACTCTCTAATCCAACAAGTGGCAATAATGCACTGACATGTTAGCTTAGCAATTTACGTACTTTGAGTTGGTAAAGTAGGTTCCAGCCGTTTGGGCGTCCCTGGCTGATGTATTTACCAACGCTTCAGTCTTTCCTCAAAAATTAGAGCAATGTTTGTTCGCCATCTTTCTGTTCTAAAGTACAAGAGGGAGCTGGCTGAATACAACTAAAACAATAACAGTCAGAGTACTTTAAATCTGAACTATGGTAAAGATGTTAACTTTTTTTTGTTTTTTTTCCAAACCATGTTCATGTTGAGTCCAGAAAATTAATCAGAAAATTGCAATGCTCTCAAATTGCTGCCTCCTGCAACATTAGCTTGCTTAGCTAATGTCAGAAACTACTTGGCTAGCTACCTTAAATGATGTACTGAGGCTACATGTTGTTGATTCAGAGTTTATGATTAGACATATGCAGACACCTCAGTGTCACTCACTGTATGTCAACATTATTGTGTACCAGCGTAATAATTAGATTTTCATGAAATCCCGTCAGTCTCTACCTGCTTTTCCTTGCTGAGTCATGAGATGCTGGTGCCTGTCTCTTGTGGTCATTGAGTGACAGGCTGGGTACTACCGGACAGGTCGCTAGTTTTAGATAAGATGATAATTAAAAAGTCACTGCATCGATACAGAGCGTTTGTTCACTAATACTACTTTTGTAATAGAATTCTTTGTATTTACTGGCAATTGGTCAGTTTTGAAAGTAAATTGCTGGCAACTCAGTGCCTTCTCAGGTGTTATATTGTAGAAAGCGTTTGGACAACATGCATTTAATTTAATAATCATTTTACAAAGAAAGTCCAAGATGTTAACATTAATATTAATTTTATGATATTTATTCTGTTTTGTCTAGTTTTAAGCACATCATAAGTTCAGTTTTTTTAGTCGCAGCATCTGTAGAACCACTTGTGCAAGTAAATGAGATTTATTCTTTTCTCCTTCTTTTAAATTGATTCGAGAGCCTTTAACCACAATGGTTTCATTAGTACTCTGAGAGATTTACAGTCTTTCTTCTGGAAAGAGCTGAAGCTGAAAAAAGGAAAACAGTTTGGTTTCTTTTGACAGAGAAACAATTATTTAACCTTTCAGTTTCTTAGAAATGTTATGTGTATGGAACCTTTTTAAAAAAAAAAAAAATCAGGATGGAAATCTTTTAAGTAACACAGCTGTAGTTACAAACATATAGGAGTTCATTTATTCAAGTTTTGACCTGGGTTATAAATATCGAAACCTTGATCACAGTGAAGTAACCAAAACCGCCAGCTAACACTTTACAGAACAAATTGCTGAGCAAGCTAAAAAACTGCACAGATGTCAATATGCCAGAAAAGTTTGCAATAGACGAGCAGCAAAATTTTGTACAGTGTAAGGGAGGGTTAAACATGGGGGCAATGGGTGCACCATAGATGCTGCAAGCAAACAGGCCTAAATACCCCAAATATTCAAAATTAGGGGTATGTAACTTTGATTTTTGTTATTATTTAATATTTCCTTTCTAGTTGTCAATGCCTTTCTACAAATGTAATACGACAACAGCGCATCAACGAAGTCTTGCCTTGAAGGCATTTTATGTCACATTTGTCTCAAATCAGCGTATTTCAGCCTACAGATTGGTCAGAAGAACACAAAGGAAAAAAAACCATCTCTAATCGCTTTCTCTTTACTCCTTCAGACACTCCCTTCGTAATGGATGACTGTCATCCATTTACAGAAATTGATAATTTTCAGTTTCTGCAAATTATCTTTGAAAGACTAACACACACACGCACACACACATTACAGCTACAAAACACACCCACACCCACCCATGCCAGCCTTGTTCCACCAAGGCCCCCCTCCTCCCGCCAACCTTTACGGTAACTGCATGTTTTTGTCATCTGTGGGCCTGGATGAAGTGATGATGCTAGTTTTGGTATCAAGTCCATGGCTGTGCCTCTCCACACCGAGAGATACTGAGAGTAGTGCAGCGTGGCGAGGCGTGGGAGGGCTGTGACAGAGATGACTCAGCTCTCTCTGTTGCCGGGCAGAGAAATGCTCTCCCACCCCCATGCAATACAAGAAAAAAGAAAAAAAAGTTACTTGGTTCATCTGTCACCCTTCACTGTGGAGACACCAAAGCTGATTGTTTTACTACGAAATCGTAATCGAACAGGATTGGAAGTTGATGTTGTCATGTCAACTTTATTGTTGTTGCATATTGATCGATAAATTAAATGTTATGTAGTGATGACGTCAACTGTAGCCATTGATAAAACCTAAATGTCCTAAGGTGTCTAATTACTGACACAACATCTAGGAAAACTCTTGGTTGGACTGTAAAACTTTATAGTTTTTTTTTTTTTTACTTGAAGCAGGGACTCATATCCTAACATATGCTGGGTTCAGAATAGCCCAGTTATTTTCTTTCCTCTCACAGTCCTGCTGTAACCATGGAGCAATCCCATCATGGTGTAATTTAACACTTTAACACTTTACTGTTTGATCTAATGCACAGGATCAGTATTTCGACATGAAGCAAATTGTGCCAAGACAGGCACCAATCAGATTTTTAAAAAATGATACTAATTTCTGTTTTTTCTTTGAGGTCCAATGAGAAAATTAACGGATGTTTGGACGATTGATTAGTTTTTGTCTACTGTTGTCTGCCCTACTAATGGTTCAAATCCCTACCAAAGAGTGAAATAAAAACACAGTGAAATATTTTGGTCCTTAGTTTAACCCTGCATAAAACATATTTGGAAGAAACAAAGACAACCTATTAATATATAATAAAACCTCTAAGAACCAAAATATGAGTACAGTAAACAAAACTTGAACTTGATACATGAACTTAACACTGCATGTAATTAATCAGGTTTTTGTTCTCCTCATAACATTTCTTGATTAAAATGTCAAAAGTTAATAATAACAATGTTAAATAAAATATAATTGCAAGTAGATTCACACAGTGCTTCTTCGCTATAGTGATTTTGCATCCAAGTGTGAGTTTTAAACTTATGACACTAACTTGCTCTGGTTGATATTCAGGTAAAAGCCTAATGCTATCTTTAGTAATTTATTCCCTACTGACATTAACATTGTTGGGAACATCACCTTGTAATTTCCTATTTTATCCAGTGGAAGATGTTCAGTATAATCAGGTTGTTGTAGTTCAGTTTGTCTGTAAACTGTAAACTAACGGTGCTTGATTAACGTTAATCATCTCCTCGTCCAACAGCTTGTGGGCTGTATTTGTGTTACAGTGGTATCCCAAAGCTGTTTCTTGTTGTTGAAGTTTTTACCGTGACCACATTAAACTGCAAAAAAACAAACAAAAAAAAAAAAAACAAAGAGAGAGAGAAAGCTTTAAAACAGACAGACATCTGTGTCCACATTTAAGGGAATAATTATGCTTACTCTGCAAGAATAGTTGCACATGATGCTGTTTTTGAGGTATAAATAAAAACCTTCACAGCACCAGAAAGAGTCTGTAACGCTGATGTCCAAGTTCAGTCCCTTTAAGGGCCTCTATCCTGTGTGTTTTAGTTCTTTTCCTGGCTCAACACACCTGAATGAATGAAATAATGGCTCCCTAACTGAGTAATTTGATGACATGTCGATGAACATTTGACTCGTCTGTTCAGACACACACATCTAAAACTGTAGCAGGACATTGGACATCCATGTTCTTTAAGCTACACAACTCAAACTCGCTTTGATTTTACTTAGCCAAATAACGTCACACACACCAAGACTAGAAGTGAAACTGAGCAATTATTTTTGCTATTAGCATAACACATATTTTCAAATGTTTAAAATTTCACAAAGAAACATTTGAGTTCCTTCTTTAAGCTGAGTCGGCCAGTCTTGCAAATGAGTGGCAGTAATTTAATGGAAGACGAGCCAGTTTTCATCAGCGCAGACAGAAAGTCTGCATGGTGTAGCAAAGTGTGGAATTGGGTCTTTGCTTCGACAAATGTGCTGCACACATAATTTAGTTGTAGTGGTGTATATGCGTAGTGTATGCAACACATCAGAGTTGCAACACTTTGAATTTCTCTAATTGCCCAAAACAGTCTGTGGCAGACTGAAATACTGATCAGAATGCATTTGCTGAAGTAGAAAGCAGTAAATAAGGAGTATTTGCTTAAAGTTTATACTTCTATTTCATTAAAAATGCAAAATGGATGCACAAAAGTGTGTCTGAACACTTTTTTTTTTGCATCTTACAGAGCTTTATCTTAATTTTTTGGCTCTAGTGGCCTTTATTTGAGGGTAGTTTGACAGGAGGGAGGATTGTGTGTGTGTGTATGTGGGGGGGGGGACATGCAGCAGGTGTCGCCAGGCTGGGAATCGAGCCTGTGACCACCGGCATGAGGACTAAGGCCTCAATGCATGGGTTGTGCTTTGCCCCTCCGCCACCACAGCACCCCAGCTTTATCTTATTT